ACAAATTAAACTATTCAAACATATTACTACAAATATATGTCAATATATTACCACAAATGCCATAGTTCCCTGATGCAAGTATCTACAACTGTTTTTAAGAAAGAAAGAAAGAAAGAAAGAAAGAAAGAAAGAAAGAAAGAAAGAAAGAAAGAAAGAAAGAAAGAAAGAAAGAAAGGCCTCTAAATTTGCATCATGTCTGAGGAATTGAGAAAACAGGAAATAGCTTTTGCACAGATTCCACACCCTCATTGTTTTTCATAATATCCTGTAATGGAAAAAAATTTCCCACAAGGTGGCAGTAACGCATCAATTCCAGCCTCAGGAATTAAAAACAAAAAACAAAAAGATTTTGCTTATTCATGGTTAAAATAGGCTTTTCTGAACTCATTCTAACATATAGAATTAAGCAATTCAACATAATATATTTTATTAGTCATAGGTGGGTAATTTTGGTAGTTTGAATTGTTTTCATTTTAATATATTTAAAGGAAATAGTGTTCTGCATATTAACCAATTTGACATGTGAAGGTATTTTACTCTAATTTCAGAACTGTCCCACCTAAAAAATGTTAACATTCCATAACAGGTGAATATTAAATTTTTATGTTGTTTAAAAGTAAAGAATCCCTACAAATATGCCCGATTTTAAAAAATGCATAAGCAATTGAAAGGAGGCAGGATAGCCAACTAGAACAATTAGATCCACAGGCACAAAAATTAGTTTTGATTAACTTCAGAGCTAAAACAAAAATTAACTCAAATGGATCAGAGAATGTAAAACCATAAAACTTTTATCAAAAAACAGAGGAGAAATATCCTTGGACCTCGGGCTAGGTAGTAATTTTTATGCTTGACAACAAAAGCACAATCCACAAAAGTAAAAACATTTATAAAATTAGATTTCACCAAAATAAAAAACTTTGCCCTGTGAAAAAGCCATTAAAGGGTGAAAAGGCAAATTGCAGACTGGGGAAAATAATTCGCATACCACATACCTGACAAAGGACTTCCAGGTAGAATACATAGAAGATTAACAGTGAAAAAACATGCTATCTAATTAGAAAATAGGCAAAAGACATGCATAGACACTTTATGGGAATGATACACAGATGTTCAATGAGCACAGGAAAATACATTCAATACCATCAGCCATTAGGGAAATGCACATGGAAACCAGGGCGAGGTGTCACTGTACATCTAGCAGAACGGCTGAGACAAAAACAGACAACACCAAAGGCTTTCAAGGAAGAGAATACGGAAGTTTCTTACAAAACGAAATATTTATCAAATGTACAACTCAGCAAATGAATCCTTGGGCATTTATCCTAGAGATATAAAATGGATTTACGTCCACACAAAAACATACATATGAATGCATATAGGCTGTATTCATAATATCCCCAACCTGGGAGCAACTCAAATGTCCTTCAACGGGTGACTGGTCAAACAAACCGTACCATGCAATTCTACTCAGCAAAAAAAAATAAAGAGCTATAAATACATGCAAAACTTGAGTGGGTCCCAAGGGAATTATGCTGAGTTTAAAAAGTCAATCTCCAAATGTTTCATACTGTATGATCCTATTTATTAAAAATTCTTGAAATGCCAAAATCATATAGATAGATATCAGATTAATAGTTGCCGAGTGTTAGGAACAGAATGAATGAGAGAGTTGGCTGTGGCTGTGAAGGACAGGACAACGGATCCTTGTAACGGAATATTCTGTATCCTGATTGTGTTGGTGGTTCCATGAATTCATACACATAATAAACGCACAGACGCGCACACACACACACAAATGAGTACGTGTAAAACTTGTGATATCTGAGTAAGGTCTGTGGATTGTATCAATGTCAATCTCTAGGTTGTGATAATGTACCATAGTTATGCACGATGCTACCACTGGGAGAAAATGGGCGAAGGCCGTAAGTGCCTTCTCTGTATTATAGCTTACAACTACATGTGACTCTCTAATTACCAAAATAAAAAACAGTAAGGCCTGCTTCTATCATACAAAATATTCAAAGAACATACAACTGCATAAAGTTGAATTATTGAACGTTTACTCAGTCTAGAATCATGTATTTCTTAATGCCTCCACCCATTTGCTTGAGAGTATGTCCATGTATAGTATTTTTTAAATGTTGTTAATGGGTTCTTGGAAACTGCAACTTTAAGAGAATCAACATTTAACAAGACCAACTTTACCACAAGCTAATGGCTATAAACAAGAATTAAATTCCTAAGATATATTTCTGGTCACAAAAACAGCACCAAACTTCAAAATAAAGATCCCAAACTCTTCCAATATTAATAACTGAAAGAAATGTGATCAGTACCTACATTTTAAAAAGATTAATAACAACAAGATAATGTTTTTCTAACCCACTTATTCCAGTTCAGGGTCGCAGGTGGCCGAAGCCTCTCCCTGCAGCTCAGGGTGCAAAGCAAGACACAACCCTGGGCGGGAGGCCTCTCCCTCAGAGCCACCCGCACCCACTCAGACTGGGACAGTGGAGCACCCATTCCCCGCACCTGCGCACCTTTGGGAAGTGGGAGGAAATGGGGGACAGAGAAAACCCACGCAGACGTGGGGAGAACCTGCAGACTCCACACAGGCAGTGGCCCCAGCCGGGAATCAGTTTTGTTCTCTCTCATCAACATTATGTAAAAAAACTAAATCGAATGAAATGATGTTATTTAAAAAGTATAAGATACTTTTTAGTGTAGTTACCCCCATGTCAGTTTTTATTAAGTCCCTCATTCTTAACACCTGCACAGTATTTCTTATGATTAACGGGTGATGGGCTTGTTTTTTGCTCATTTGTTGTTCTCATATCTTCTCTCTTAAAAATGTATTTCAGAAAGGAAAAAAAATACAAGGAGGCTGTGTCCTGCATTTCTGTTAAGTAACTTAGAAATAAAATGACAGGTTCAAATCGTATGTACATTAAACAAGTCCATAGTGATTCTACGCCACGTTAGTAGTAGCAGCATAGTTTTAACATCTGTGAATCTGCCACAAAACCTGACAGAGCAAGGAGGGATGAGGTACCCCCGTGAGCCCCACACCCCATGAACCCCGCACCCCCGCGAGCCCCACGCTGAGCAAATAAAGCCAAACCACAAAGACCCAGGGGAACCACCACCTGTCCTGGAGGATGCAAGGCAAGGACACAGGGTCCCCAAAGGCTCTGAGAGCTGTGAAACTTAGAAATCCAATTGCTTACCCCCTCCCCAGTTCAGGGACTCCTGCCCGACCGAGAGCAGCAACTGAGGCCAGGAGGGGCTGCTGGGTCCCGACTCCTTAGGGGAGAGAGAGGGTGGCGACAGCAGGTGGAGTGGTCGTCTGCACCCCATGGAGCTCCCCAAATTAACCGCTTCCAGGACAAAGCCCTGTCCTGAGGAGTAACTTCAGGAAGTCAACTTTAAGCCAAGTTCGACAAAGACACCAAGGCCCAAGAAAAGAGAAGCCCAGGTAGACACGGGGGACGGGGCGAAGTCAGACCTCAGCAAGCCCGAGCACAGCCGGTTCCTTACCCTCAGTTCCAGGATGCCAGGCGCCCTGAATGTGAGCCACCAGGCAGCCTCGCTTCCACGGGGGACGCTCTCCTGACTCCGGTTACTAATCCGGTCATTCTCCCTTCTCAGATCTGAATGACGGCAGACAATGGCTCAGCAAAAAGTACCTAATATTTTTCTTGGGAAAATAAGTGCTGAAAGGCCTCTCTCAAAGCCCTCGCTCCCGCTTGACATACGGACGTGAAATATCATCAGTGCTTGAGTCTGTTCAGCTTTTTATTGGGGGCAGCAGGCCCCACCTCCTGCAAAGAGCTATTAACTCCATCTGTGGGTGCTCCACCGCCCTGTCCTGCTATCTTAGAGTCACCCCTCCCGGTGCAGAACACACATCCATTTTCATTTGCTCTCTCTCCCTCTATCCCATGGGCATATGCATTTTTGTTTGTTTTCTCCCATATTAAAAACAAAACAGCTTCCCTCCTTCAGCGTAGCACAAATCAAAGACGACAGAAACAAATGCAGAATCCAGCTGACGGAAAGGAAGGTGACGGTTCGGTGCTCTGACGATGTAGAGATGAGAGAATGATGAAAAGTGGGAGAAAATGGGGACGAGAAGGCATTCTGTAGAATAAACGTCCCGCCTGCCCCATCGCTAATGCCTGGGAGTCAACGAGTTTGTTTGTGGAAGTGGAGGCATGTTTACTGCTACCAAGGGAAACACTTAATGTTAGTATTTTATCAAACTGGAGAGTGAAGGAGGCCGGAGGGAAAGAAAGAGAGCCCAAGGCATGTCTCAGTCTGGAGACAGTAACTGCTGTCTGAAGAAAGTGGTGCGTTTAGGGAGCTAGACCAGGTAGCCACCAGAACAAAAATCCAGCCTCCCTAAATATCTCAACGCTAAAACAAAAGTGACAAATACAAACAAGCTAGTGAAAGACAAATATATGCATGCAACACATAGTATAGAGTACTATACCCCCAAATAAAAGCAAACAAAATTCATATTAATCAAAGTCAATGCACTTATTTCTCTTATGAAAAGAAAAATGGGTATCGTCCAATTAAATCACAAACTCAATTTTATGCTGAATGTAAGATACCTAAAACTTGAGAAATGTGAAAAATAAATGGGCTGGCAATACACACACCAAAAGGTTGTCTCCTCTTTATGTTTATGGAGTAATAGCGCAGTGGATAAGCACACGGCATTTTCTCACATTTTTGCACTTGCACAGCTGGAGGTGTTTACACCACGAGTGTGAGTTTATTTGAACACATAAAGAAGATGCTTTTATATAATTAGAAATAGGAATGATAACAGTGAGTGAAAGGAGAAAACAGTGCCTTGAGGGGTGAAAGGAAAGAGCCAGCGTTGGGTACTTAGTGATGACATTACCATAGGGCAAGTTATTTCCAGCGAAAAGTCCTTGCCCTGCTGCTGAAATCACGTGGGATCCTGGGAGAGTCCTGATGGATTCTCACAGATCTGCCGTCAGCTGTGCTATTGCCGCCGACGCAGTGGGAAGCCTCAGACTTGGGTTCAGCTGTTGTATCCTTGATGGTCCTATTTTGCTCTTTAGGGAGGCTGTGGCACTGCAGTTATATTTGGGATACTTTGTCTGATTCCAAACAAATAATCTCTCCCGAATGTGAGTGAGACATACACCTTGATCCCCATGGAATAACCCTTTGGTAGAGATCCCGAGATTGGATTTCTCGGCAATGACTGTGGCATCCTGGACAGGCTGAGAAACAGGCCACCTTTCCATTCCCCACGGGCTGGGAGCTGGGGTAGGTTTAGTGTGAGGAAGCCTAAAGTTATTATTGTTGCAGATTTAATTTACTTTGTGGCTCTTTTATCGAAATAAAATAAATACCGCACAACTGTACTAAATAAATTTATAATTTTTTTTCTCTCTTTCCCCTAATGAGAGGAGACCCACAGGTACATGAGGATCTTGCTTCATTTACAATGTTTTCAGGGCCACAGGTTCTCCTAATAGTGTTTAGGGACACCTCTCTAAGTTATTAATCGAGTTGAGTGAATCTAAGTTAGAACCAGGCGATGGAAACCAGGTGAGAGCGTTATGTTACTCTAGAAACAATGTACTGTATACCTAGGGGAACTGTTCTCAGTATCAATGTTTTAAGCATTGTAAGACTGATTATACACCAAGGCAATAATTATGCAATTTTTATGAAATTTGGAACAAAAATAGTTGAAATGTGTGTGCATTGCCTTTAAAAATTTTTGTCGTACCAATTTACTTTATTAAGTATTAAATAAAAATAGCAGAATATAATGAAATATTTGTAATGTATATAGAACCACATAATAAACACCTGAGTCTCCCACCACCTAGTTCAGGAACTGGATCCTCATGATTGATTTTGAAGCCACCTGTGTGACCATTGCTGATTGCATCCCCTTCTTTTACACTCCCAACAATGAGCATTGAGTTCCACGTGTTTTGTTATTGTTTTACTGTCTTTGTCCTTTATTTCTAAATATTTTAATAAAGTAAGTTTGCTCATTTGGCAGGTTCTTAAATATTATTCAAAATAGAATTCATCATGCCAGGCTGGTGTTGCTCAGTGGCTGAGCGTTGACCTGGGAACCAAGAGGTCACCGGTTCAATTCCCGGTCAGGGCACATGCCCGGGTTGCAGGCGGATTCCCAGGAGGGGGCATTCAGGAGGCAGCTGATCGGTGTTTCTCATCTATGTTTCTATCCCTCTATCCCTCTCCCTTCCTCTCTAAAAAAATCAATAAAAACATATTTTTTCAAAAATAGAATTCATTATATCTTTTGTAATTGTCTTTTAAAAATAAAATTATTTTCCTGAAATTCTTCTGTTGTATGTATTTTATTCATATTTTCTATACTGTTGCATCTCATGAGCATTATAATTTATATACCAGGGACTTTTATTGTCATCTCATTGTTTCAGATTTATCTATACTAAACATTGCAAACCTAAAATTCTGCTGTATTTTTATAGGGCCACGCATGCAAGTCTTTTTCTAGGGTTGTATTTGTTTCCTATTTTTGCCATAACAATTTACCACAAACTTAGTGGCTTAAAATAACACGAATTTATTATCTTAGAGGTTTTTGAGTCAGAAGTCTGGTAGGGCTCTTACTGGACTGAAATCAAGGTATTAGTAGGTCATGTTCCTTTTCCGAGGCCCTGGTGAATCTGCCTCCGCTCATTTGGGGCATCGGCAGAATTCAGTTCCATGTGGTTTTAAAACTGAAGCCCTTCCTGGTCGTGAGCTGAGGGCTGCTCCCAGCTTAGAGTCCAGTCACTTTGCTGGCCTGTGACACCGCTCCTCCCCCTGCAGAGCCAGAGATGGCAGACCAAGTGGTCCTCACTCTGCCTTCTCGCTGACCCTCTGCACCCAGGAAAGCTGCTCTGCTTTTAAGAACTCCTGTGATTAGATTGGGCCCAAGGTAATTCAGGATAATTCCCCCATCTCAAGGTCTTTAATCCTAATCACAGCTGCAAAGTCCCTTTTGCCATTTAAGGTAACATGTCCACAGGTTCTGCAAATCAGGGTGGGGACATCTTGAGGGGCCATTATTCTGCCTAACACAAAGATACACAACTTGGAGAGATACACAACTAGTTCATAGGGCCTGAACAACTTCATTTTTACTACATAATGTTTCCCAAAATGAGCATTCCATATTTTAATTTTCACCAGTGCTGTTTAAGAATTATATTTACTTCACAGTTTTGCCAGTACTCGATCTGATATCAGATATTTTCATTTTCTTGCCAGCCTGGGATGACATGACATTGCTTATTATATATTCATTCCTTCATTCAACACATTTTTTAAAAGTATATCTTTATTGACTTCAGAGAGAGGAAAAGAGAAGGAGGGAGAGAGAGACAGAAACATCAATGATGAGAGAGTCATTGGGGATCGAGCCACAGCCCGGGCATGTGCTCCGACCAGCAATCGAACCTCGATCTTCTGGATCCTAGGTCGATGCTCAACCGCTGAGCCACGCCCGGCTGGCCCCTTGTGTATTTCAGTGTGCAAGCCCGCCTCCTACCCAAGTTCAGCAGCTGTTCTTAGACTGGCCTGCATGCCTTTCAGTGAATCTCTGCTGCTGACTGTGGGGTTCTCAGATTCACCAGACGTCCTGCCCCCCACCCCCATTTTCCTCCTAAGGAGATTCTGATACCCCATGGGCTTTTAGATATCCCTGATTGTCTGCATCTGTTCATATTTTGGGACTTGTCAATTGGTTTTGTTGTAGGAAGTATCCATAAATTTTGATTTTGCTATCCTAGTTTTTTGTTTTATTTAGAAATTTGGAAATATTCTAAAGGTACACTACATTTCTTTTACATTGCCAGAATTTCCAAGTGTAATTTTGTTGTTATTAATCCTTACCCAAGGATATTTTTTCCACTAACTTTTAGAGTGTGTGGAAGGGGGGAGGAGAAGACAGACAGGCAGGCAGGCATGCAGACATGGATGTGTTTAGTTGCCTCTCGATCACTCCCTGACTTGGGCCAGGGATCGAACCTGCAACCCAGATACATGCCCTTGACTGGGAATTGAACCCTCAACCCTTTGGTGTGTGGGCTGACGCTCTAACCACTGAACCACACTGGCCAGGGCCCGAAGTGTAATTTTTAGAAATATATGAATAAATGAAGAATGCCTCCAACCTGAATGACAGTGTTTTTAGTAGTTTGTAGCAGTTGCGAGAACCAGGACAAAGGGATTGGGGAAGTTGTTCTCCAAGGTATCATCCCCACCTTCACTTTGCATTTTTGGCCATGCGGTCACCTCTGTCTGAACACCACTTCCACTACCTCTTTTCTTACTTAATCCCTATTTGTTTAAGGACAAACTCTGGAATAATTTTCTTTCAGTAAAATTTTTACACTTCAAGAAAATGTGTTGCACTTCTATCAGCTTCCATTGTACCCTGGATCTCTTATTATTTTATATAAATCTATCTATATAGCAATGGAACCACTTTTCTAAATTACAGAAGTGATGCATTCAATCAGAGTTGAAACCAAATTCCAGCAAGATTATAGGTCATTGTGACATGTATATTGTAGAGCAATTTCATCAAATGTATTTTCATTTGTTTTAGTGTAAATGATCTCGCTATCTGACATGTATTACTTAATGGTTTCTTGTTGAAATTCAGTAAAGGGGAAATATGGAAGATGGATGAAGTAAAGGGTTAAAAGAAGCTAAGAGCTATAATCTCAATATTTGTGTGGCCCCAAACTTCAGGTATTGAACCCTAATACCCGCTGTGATGGCATTAGGAGGCAGGGTCTTTGACAAGTGCTTAAGTCAGGAGGGCGGAACCCTCAGAAATGGGATCAGTTTATTACACAAACTTCAGAGAGATCCCTTGCCCATTCTGCCAAGTGAGGCTACAAGAAGTCTGCCACCTGGAACAGAGCCATCAGCCAACCATGTAGGCACCCTGATCTGAGACTTCCAGCCTCTAGAACTGTGAAAGGTAGATTTCTGTTGTTTATAAGCCACCCAGTCTATGATATTTTGCTATAGCAGCCCCAGTAGACTCAACCTAACATTTTCTATAAATCTACACTGAGCCAACCATTGTATAAACATTAATCTTTACTTTTATCAGACCTAACTGAAATTTTATTCCTGTTTATGAATGCATAGATGAATAAACAGATAGAGATAATTATTTTAACCAATGTCATCCTATCGTAATAGCAAATTCAGAATTTTAATGTATATTTGTTCAATTCCAGTATGTGCTTTTTTTGACCAAATAACGCTTCCCCTTACTGATTACATTGACTGGTTAATCTTCCCTGCTAGACTCTAGTGAGTGCTATGAAGTCAGAAACTATAACTTTCATGTCTGTATCCCATGCAATGAGACATGGTTTAGAAAACAGTAGGTGCTGAATGAATTAGAAAATGCATGCTCTAAATTCACAAGCAGAGCCCTCAATGACTCTGTGTATCTCCCCACTGCCTAGCCTGGGTTATAGACCTTACTACCACCTAGTGGCAAAAATGACTTCTGGGATCAGTTAATTTAAAGTAAAAATAAAACATGTCTTAAACCTAATTTTGTAAATTTAACATCAAAGGGGGAAGCAAATGACACATCCGATAAAGTATTTTCCAAATAAATATAACATGTCAGCCATCTAGAGGTTGTAGGAAACTGGTAAATCTCCAGGAACCTTAAGAGAATAAATGCATGTATTTACACTTAGCATTCTGCTGCAAGTGCAAAGACAGGCCTCTACACACAATAACAGCATTAGTCATTTTTCGAATGTTAAATGCATTCTCTGTTTTTTCAATTAAAAAATCTAAAAATTGGCTTTAATATTTGTTTTAATAAAAGGAAACAAAAATGTTTTTAAGGGTCTGCACTATATATATAGCTAAGATATGACATTCAAAGTCTTTATGTGTTAAACATATTTTCCTACAGGGTGGTGAACACACAATACAGTGTACAGGTGATGTGTCGTGAAATTGCGCACCTGCAACATGTATAATTTTGTTAACCAGTGTCACCCCAATAAATTCAATGAAAAAGAGAAAAATAGATGAAGGGATCAACTTGGTGCGTTGGAATAAAGAATCTAAGTAACATTGAAAAAATATATTTTCCTACATCAATAGAGAAAAGTATGGGCTTTGGGTGATAATGACACGCCAACATGGGTTCATCCGTCTAACAGACACCACGCTGGCGGGAGGTGCCGACAGTGGGGAGGCTGTGCATGTGTGGGGACAGGAGATATACTGTGCCTTCCATTCAATTTTGCTGTGAACCTAAAACTGCTCCAAAACATAAGGTTAATTAAAAATATTTTCCATTTTCCAACTGTCAACATATTTATAATCATCAACTAACTGTAGAATTACACTTTTTCCTTCACTCTCCTATCTTTATAACTCATTCTGTATTTAGCCACTAGCAAAGCTTGAAGATAACTAGCCAAGGTAGTTAGGAAAATTCTACTAGAGCTTGGCAGACCCTATAAAACCTCTCCTGGGACTCACGTTTACATTTATGACTGTGCTGGGAGGGTGGGCCGCCTCCGCTGTACTGGTGGAGATGAGGGGAGCATCGCTGGATGTACAGTGAAACGGATTTGGGCGATTGGCGATCGGTGGGATCGATGCCACGGGTAGGCCTGAGGAAGGAGCGGGTTTTGGATTTGGGATGAATTCTGGTTTTGACACGGAGAATCGTGCTCCAGAGGAAATTGTACTGGGGATGTTGATGAGATCATTACTTTGTGATATGAATTTCTGTGGATCTCTATAGACTTAGATATCCATTTGGGACTCCTTGATGTAAGAATGGTAGATAAAAACATGGGGCATAGTGAGGTCACGCCGGAAAGTGTACAGACTAAAATGAGAATACGCAGATCCCTGCGACAGGGGAAGCGGCAGAGGGACTGAGAGGCCAAGTCAGGAAACCAGTTTCTGGTACTTGAAGAAAAGGAGTGTCTGGCGAATGAGCCAGTCAACAAGTGTGGTAAACATATGAACCAGTCTGCAATCTCATTTTCCCTCTTGCACTTGCTTCTTGAGACTCAGTTCAAGCCTCACTGGCACAAGGGACACCCACCCTTCCTCTGGTCTTCAGACACCACACACATCGTGGCACCCAGGTGGTTCCATGGTATTTACCATTCATTTTATCTCCAATTATATGCAAAGTGCTAATCTAGCCCAGTCTAGGTGTCTGGAACAGTCTAAGAGATTTTCCTCCCTGATTCTTCTACCCTAAATACATTTTCTTTTAATGTTCTAGGGAAGAGAGAAGGGAAAATTCTTCAGCTTTATTGTAATAATTAATATGTCCCATTTCCCTCACCCTGCTGCCCCCACTCAGGTTTTATTACTGTGGGAAAATCAATTCAAATCTAGACTATGAAAGAGAGTTAGTGGGTGTAGTAAATATATCCGGGAGCTTTGTGTAAATGTTACATTCCTGGCATAGGAAAGGCTGGAAAATTTGCCTAAATTCTAGTCATCTTGTCAATATGGAATAAAAAGCAGTTTATTTCTGGAATATGATGAGAGTTTAATATTAGGTACCATAGTAACTCGATTCCTGATACTAACATATCTAAGGAAAAATATTGACAGATGATAGAAATGATCTGTTAAATAATAATACACATTATGTAGTAAAAACAATACTATAAATAAATAGGCATTTTCTGAGTAGGTTATAATTTATTTTAAATGTATATTAATCAGCATAATTTCAATAGTTGCAAACCCTTTAAACATTAGTTTGAAAGTGAGAAGCGAGGCAAGCACGTATCACTGCTACTGCTTAACGTTCTGGATATTCCAACCAACACATTTAGAAAGAGAAAGGATTAGAGGTATAAAAAATGTCAATGCTGCCATTATTTTCTGAAACATATTATTTATCTAGAAAAACATTTAATAATAATTCACTAAGATATAGTTACCTAAATACTCAAACCTTAACGGCTTTCACATAAAAATGATACAATTACTTTAATCATGCCTATATTCATGAGAACACAATATAGAAATAGCCAGGAATATACAGGGGGAAAAATCTAATGAGAGGGCAATAGCCTTAAATAGATTTTGAAACATATCAGTAAGCAGATCAATCAAAGCAATGTGGCACCGAGACAAGAATTCACAGACCGACCAGTAGAACGGAATAGTGTACATCTTTCTAAGTATCCATTTATCTATCCATGTACCTTATTTTATTTTTTGTTAATCCTTACCCGAGGATATTTTTTCCATTGATTTTTAGAGAGAGTGGAAGGGAGGGAGGGTGTGGGAGGGAGGGAGAGAGAGAGAAACATTGATGTGAGAGAGACACATCGATTGGTTGCCTCCAGCTCACACCCAAACCAGGGCTGGGGATGGAACCTGCAACCCAGGCACATGCCCTTGACCAGGAATTGAACCCAAGACCATTTGGTGTAGGGGTGGACGCTCCAACCACTGAGCCACACCAGCCATGGCTATCCATGTATCTTTGTATGTCTGTCTATGTATCTATCTATCCATCCACCCACCAATTCCGAATGCTAAATATGAGATTCATTTGAACCTGCAGCAACAGCAAGGAATTTAGGCTTTGCCAAGAACAAATGCAGACACTACTTAGAGAAGCGGAGCCCCAAATTATAATGCATTTATTCCACCGAGGTGCTCATTCAAATGAATTAGTTAACGTTAAGAAACATCATTTTATTTGAAATTAGTAAGGAAATCTCATAGAGGTGTAAGAGTTAAATATGCTTATATAAATACGCCTCCTACATGACTCTGCCCACTCTCACATTTCAGAATGGCCAACTCCTTTCCCACACCCAGACGCAGCGCAGGAGTCCAGTTCTTGCAGGGAATGCAGGAGTCACAGGCTCACGGTGGCCCCAGGCCACCTCTGGCAGACGGAAAATGAGGAAGGCAAAACTTACTTCAGAAACACTCGGTCTAACGCAGGGTGGCCCCAGGGCCGCCCAGGCATCTGATTGTTTCAAGAGCCTTCGCCGCGTGGCGTGCCCAGGGGAGTGGGACAGATGGTGCAGGGGGGGCCCAGGCAGGCTCCTGCTTGTAGTTCTCCTCCCAGCAGGACCCTCTCCTCCCAGGCTTGTGGGCCCGAGAGTGAGAGCCCTGTCCCAATTCCCTTCCTCCCAACCTGTTCTACTCTCTGTTGAGGAGGAGGGGAAATGAAGGGAGAAGCAGAGAAATGAAAAGGGCAGGGAGAAGAGCCCTTGGACTTAACACAGGCCCCAGGGCCCCGCTGGGAAGCCCTCGGTCCCAGCGGCTCAGCGGCCCGAGGCAGGTGTCCCCGAGGAAGACGGGCCGGAGCTGCGGCCCTCACGCTCACCTGCACCTTCACTGCTNCCTTCACCGCTGGCGCCCGGGCAGCTGCTGCCTCCTGCCCTTTCCCCGCGTCCCCCTCTTCCCCTGCCCCCCGTGAGGCATGAGGATGGCCCCCGCGGCCTCTGCGGCCTCTGCCCCCGGAGCCTGCGGGCCCTGCTCCCGCGCCAGCCCTTCCTGCGGGGCCTTGCTGACGGAGGCTGCACGTCTGGCCTCAGGACCTTGGGGCCCGGCCCCGTGCACGCCCATGTTCTCACGCTCAGCATAGGTCCTCGCTCTGTAGGCAGCATGCTCCTCGGGGGACAGGCTCCTGAGCCAGTGCCCAGGCCCGCCCTGCACTGTCCCTGCAGCCCCTGGGCCTGCTGCCTGGACTGCGGCCTCTGGCCCCAGGGGACCCGCTGCCAGCGCCTGCCAACCTCCACCCTGCGCCCTCGGGGGCAGGGCTCGCAGCTCCCCGCGCGCCCACAAGTCCTGGTGGAACTTCTGGTATTCGTGCATTGGGGGCTTCTTGGGCTCTCCAGGCAGCTTCAACTCAGAAAAACGGGTTTCTGGGGGAGACTTCACGTCTGTCACATTTCCCTGAACCTTCTTTTGGCCTTTGGTTGGGCTCCTTCTGGGGACAACAGATGTCCTGGAGTTCTGGGCTAGATCAGGGTGGCCCTTGTTAAACTGAGCCAGTTTCTCCTCAAACTCCCGTTTCTCCTTCTGGAAATCTTGAATATATTTCAGCCTCATCTGGTCTGGGAGCTCCCTGTATTTCTCAGACAGGACCTTGGTCAGCTCCTGGTTCCTGAGTTTGGGGTGCATTTGGGAGTACAGGAGCCGCTTCTCCTTGTAGAAGCGGAGGTAAGCAGCCAGGGGCTTCTTGGGCATGTCTGGATGTTTCTTGAGTTTTTTGCTTTTGTCAGGATTTTTAACACGTTCCTTAGCTTCCAGGACTAATTCTGTTAAAGTACGAAACTTTCTTAACTTATTAGAAATCTCTAACCATTTGAGTTTGCACATTTCTCCAGAATAACCTTTAAAAGCTACTTTTCCCCAGTCCATATATAACTGGGTTGTTTTGAACGTGTGGCTGTCATTGGACAGGAGATTTTTCTCCAGGAGATCCAGTAACATCACAATGTCTTCTTTGGGCCACTGGCCTTGGCCATTAGTCAATGCCATTTCTAGGACGTTGGGCCACTTACGAGGTCCCAGTTATGCAGACACCACAGAAGAAACTCCAAAGTCTTCACTCTTCAGGCTTAGCAGGTGAGCTATTTTGGGAGTTTTGCAGTGTGTGTTCTAGATTTCTGAGGAGAAATAGAAATGAATGAGAAAATCACAACCCACTTGGGATATGTCCCTCAAGTAATTAAACTGCCTTAACAAAATAAATGAAAAGTTGCATACCTCTGACGTGAAATTTATGCTTACCTTTCACATGCTACATCTGCACTTTTCAAAATCGTCACATCACCTTTCATTCTAGCCTGCCTTTTGCCAGATCTCACTAGGACCTGTCTTAAATAGAGCAACAACTGGCTACTCAAGGCTGGATGTAAGAAAAAAGCCCTGGGAAGAACAAAAAATGAAAATGAAAAGAGAAATGTGGAAAAGGGAAAGGACTTGTTCTCCAGTGCCTTGAGTGTGGCCACCTTCTAAGTGCAGCTCAGGTGTCTGTGACCAACAGACAATGAAACAAGCTAAGGAGACATGCACTCCACTGTGGTCTTTTTTATGAGTGAATCTGGAATCTGGAATAAATGACTAATTTATAGATTATCTGGAGTGCAGGGAAATGAATGCTTTCTAATGAACCATACTGCTTCTCCCTTCAGATGTCAAGGAGCAACTAAGAATTATGGAATATTTACAATTTCATTTGGTTAACTTTTCTGCATCCTTACTTCTACTGTTCTACAACAAGGTTTTCCAATCAAGCTTTAGGTTTCATGCCAAATATAAAACTACACAAAATCTAGAACTTTCCTTCTAGATATCACAATTTGTATGCACAAGGAACAGAAAATTTAAAAAATAATTATGTAAATTTGTAAATGTCAAAACAATAACAGGTTGAAATTCTGTAGCTCAAAGAGTAAACTGAAAGTAATTACATAATTTTTATTAACTAGGCAATGTACATTTTCTTAGGAAAGTCTTAAGCCTGCGGACAGTTAAATTATTTATTTTTTTGAAGGAAAGAAGTGAGAACTCGATTTACCTACAAGTGTGTGCTCACCTGAAGATTGCATAATTGGTTTCATCGATGCTTGTAGGAATGCCCACCCCATCAGGTCAGAGGTTCTGTGTTCTCTGGGCTCTTGTACCCAAACGCAGCTGTAACCTGAGTTTTCCACAGTCCAGCCAACTTCAAAGGCCTCCAAACAGAAAGAATCTGGCTTTTGAGACCGGTTTATATAGGTATCCCTGAAGCTCCACCCTGTCTAGGTTTCTGTAGTGGGGAAGCCCAGAGGGAAGACAGACTTTCAAATCCTTGATGAGATTAACTCCGTTTGGAATGTCCAGAAATAATCTACTTAACCTCACCCTCCCTAGTAATTGGTTCATCCTTGGCATTGATTTTAAACATCCACATGGCAAATGTTTCCACATTCTACTCTCATTCTTGCTACCACATCTGACTTTATTTCAACATGGTATTTGAATATATAGGTCCTTCCCTTCAGTGTTAATTTTAGTTTTTTCCCTACGGTCTAGAATTTGAAATTCTCTCGTCTCCAGGATGGCTATTTAAATGGTTTCAGTCCTGCTCAACTTCTCCCTAGTCTTTAGAGATTAAGGTGGAATTTGATCTCAAAGTGTGAATGACTATGTTTAGTTCTGTGTTTAGAGAGATAGGATATGTAAAAAACAACAACACGTGATTTGGTGAAAGCAATTTGATGAAACTCAAACTGGCTATCAGGATATCATGACTGAAATGATGACTGTTTTTTATAGTATCAAGTTTCAGACATTTAAAGAAAAATCAACTTCCCACCTCTAAAATTTTATCACTAAGTAAGTTTACAAGTAATTTATTATCTGAATATATCCCACAATGGGATATTACCAAGAAACCCTAAATTAATAAAACACTCTAATAATTACAGTATAATGCAGTACGTAAATATGAACTAATTTGGGAATGTTCAACTTATTCATAGACATAGGCATAGCCAAAATTTGGACTGGGAAACTTTTGGAGGTCTAAATACCTTGTGTTTATCTGTGGTAATATCTTATTGGTGTGAATTTTTTTAATTATCATCTTTTTTTTTTTATATTGTGCAATATTTTTGGCAATAAGAATGAACTGCTCCACATCCAAAATAGGCATCTACATAACAAGTGACTGGTTGTCAGTTTACTGTAACAAAAGTTGGCATGTGAGTAGTGACAAGTCCTTACTGAACAACTATGTGTGAGATGCTAGCCTGACCCCAACCCTACTAATCTCTCTGTGACTGTTCTGCAGTAAATACAATATTAACATATGTGACAGATAAAACTTCTCTGCATGTCTCAGCAAAAAAAAAAAAAAAAGAAAGAAAAAGAATGAACTGCTCCAAAAAAGAAAAGCTATTTTTATGAAAATATATGGCCGAATACATACCTTTAAAATAACTTACATAGTTTTATAGGTATTTATGATCAAAAATATTCTATAGATATGATTTAATTACCTAAAAATTATTTAAATAAATCAATGTTGCATATTTATGCTTGTAATACTTAATCCTGATGGTCTTAACATATTTTCTATTATTAAAAAATATGACCTCCTCTCTCACCACCATTTTAAATGCAGCTCCATACAACGGTTGGCCCCACTGCTTTGAGACTAATTGCTCGCCAGCACCACCCCCAACCCCANGGAATTCCCAGAGTGATCCAAGATCCACAGGAGCAAGAATCAGCAAGAGGACGATGAAATGTTTATTGGAGGCTTGAGCTGGGATGCAAGCGAGAGAGATCTGACTGAGTATTTGTCTCGATTTGGGGAAGACTGCACAATTAAAACAGATCTAGTCACTGGAAGATTAAGAGGATTTGGAGCTGTGCTTTTCAAAAATGTTGCCAATGCTGATAAGGTTTTGGAACTGAAGAAACAGACTGGATGGCAAATTGATAGACTGTGAAAGGGCAAAAGCTTTAAAACAGAAGGACCCTCCCCCCGCAAAAAAAGATTTTTGTAGGTGGATTGAGCCCAGATACTTCTGAAGAACAAATTAAAGAATATTTTGGCCCTGCCTGGCGTGGCTCAGCGGCTGAGCATCGACCTAGGAGCCAGGCGATCAGGGTTTGATTCCTGGTCAGGGCACATGCCCGGGTTGCGGGCTTGATCCCCAGTCAGGGGGGTGCAGGAGGCAACCGATCAATGACTCTCTCATCATTGATGTTTCTCTCTCTCTTTCCCTTCCTCTCTCTGCAATCAATAAAGATATATTTTAAAATATATATATATATTTTGGAGCCTTTGGAAAGACTGAAAATATTGAACTTCCTATGGCTACAACAAATGAAAAAAAGTTTTTGTTTTATCACATATACAGATGAGGAGCCAGTAAAGAAATTGTTAGAAAGCAGATATCATCAAATTGGTCCTGGGAAGCATGAAATCAAAGTTGCCCAACCCAAAGAGGTATCTAGGCAGCAACAGCAACAACAAAACATGAGGAAGAGGTGTTGCAGCTGGTGGAGAGTTGGACTGAGGTCAAGGCCAAAACTGGAACCAAGGATTTAATAACTATTATGATCAAGGATGTGGAAATTACAGAAGGGCCTATGGTGGTGATCAAAACTACAGTGGCTATGGCGGCTATGATTACACGGGGTATAACTATGGGAACTAAGGAGATGGACAGGAATATGGGGACCACAGTGGCCAACAGAGCACCTATGGTAAAGGCGACTTGAGGGGGTGGCAATCACCAAAACACTCATCAGCCATCCTAAAGGAGGACATTGGAGAAAACAGGAGGCGATTGCTAAAGTAACCCATCTTTTTTTTTTTTAATTTATTGGAGTGACATAGGTTAATAAAATAAAAAGGTTTCAGGTATACGATTCTACAATACATCGTCTGTATATTGTATTATATGTTCACCACCCCAAGTCACGTCTCCTTCACTCCCCATTTATCCCCCCCTTTCCCTCTTCTGCCTCTCCCCGCCCCCTTAAAGTAATCTATCTTGCATGATGACATTGAAGATTGGTCTTCTGTGGCTCTAAGGTGATCATTTTGTAAAAGACTTTCTAGTATATAAGACACAACTATGTTCAACTGTATATAGCTGCCAATTACTTTCTTTGTTTTTACTTTATCTTTTGCTATCTGTTATGATTCAATATGGATTGTGTTTATACAAATTTTATTTGTATGATTTCACATTAAACCTCAAATAAGTGCTTCCTTATGTGAAAAAAAATTATGACCTTCCATTATAGTACGAAAAAGGCAGGCACGTAAGCCAACTATCATTATTAAACCATGAAGCTGGCAAATATCAGAAATAATACTATCTAATATTGCTGAAAGTATGAAGTGAGTATTACCACATACCATTGATATGCTTGTTTGAGGTTAGTGCAGGATAGCTTGCAAATATGCATTAAGATCCCTAAAATATGCCTGTCTCTGACCCAGTAATTCTAGTTGTAGAAAAGAATCCTAAAGAACTTACTAGGCAACATCTAGCATACAGGAAACCTTACCTCAACAATGTCTCTCCCAGCTATATATAATCTATATAAAGTAGTCTCGCCCTTCTCCACGGTTTTGTTTTCCTCAGTTTCAGTTACCTGAACTCAACCATGGTTCAAAAATATTAAGTGGAAAATTCCACTAATGAACAAAATTCCTAAATTATTTTTGGTTAACCCTCACCAAAGAATATATTTATTTATTTATTTACATTTTAAAATTTATTTCAGAGAGAGAGGAAGAGAGAGGGAGATGGAAACATCACTGATGAGTCATTGATCGGCTGCCTCCCGTATGCCCCTGACCGGGGATCAAGCCTGCAACCCAGGCATGTGCACTGACCGGGAATCGAACCTCGATCTCCTAGATCCTAGGCCGATGCTCAACTGCTGAGCCACACCCAGCCAGGCTATTTATTTATTTTTTAAATTCTCACCTGAAGATATTTTTTCTATTGTTTTTCAGAGAGAGTGGAGAGAGAGAGAGAGAGACACATTGATATGAGAGAGAAACATCAATTGGTTGCCTCCCCTACTCACCCAGACTGGGGCCGGGATCGAGCTTGCAACCAAGATATGTGCCCTTGGCCAGAATCAAACCGGGGACCCTTCAGTCCACAAGCAGATGCACTAACAACTGAGCCAAACTGGCTAGGGCCAAAGGATATTTTTTTCCATTGATTTTTAGAGAGAATAGAAGGTTGAGGGACAGAGGGGAGAGAAACATTGATGTGAGAGAGACACATCGATTGGTTGCTCTCACGAGTGCCATGCAAAGACTAGGGCCAGGGATTGAACCTGTAACCCAGGTCCATGCCCTTGACTTGTTGACCCTGAATCCAATTACCAGTGACCTTAGAAGAGAATGGTGATGGAGATTTGAGACACTGAGACACAAGGAAAAAGGCCTTGTAGAGAGAGAAGCCTAGGTTGGAATTATGCCGCCATAGTCAAGGAATGCCAGGAGCCACCAGATGGCAGAGACAAGGAAGGATCCTCCCCTAGAGCCTTAGGAGACAGAACGGCTCTGCCATACCTTGATATCAGACTTCTAGCCTCTAGAACTATGAGAGAATAAATTTCTATCGTTTAAAGACACATGGTGAATGGCAATTTGTAATCACATCCCTAGGAAACAAATAGAGATGGTGACCTAGATTGGGAGTGGCCAGCTCTTAATTTTCTCCACGTTATTTCCTGTGCCTACACTCAGCACCCAAACACAGACAGCAAGGGTGAGAGACTCCTGCCTCTAAAAATAATAAGAAAATAGCCACTGATATTTAGTTACCCTCTGTAGTCTGAGATATATAGGCAAATAGAAAGGACAAAAATATAAATGCATATACTTCTAAGAATAAGGTTTCTGCTAGTACAGGAATCTATGTTACTCCTTTAGCAAACATTAGGGAACACATTTCTGATATCTGGCTCTTTCCCCATTCTCACCACTCAACAGAAATGACCACCTGTGAAACCACTACTCAAATAATAGTTGAGGATTATGGGGTACTACTTCTACACCCACTTTTTGTGTGCTGTGATTATTCAGATGCTCTGGGAAAACACTTCCAGCCTATCCCATTCTGAAATACAGAATACTCTGATTGGCTTAAACTCACGCTTCTATAACCTCGTTCACAGGTTTCAAGCACATCTTTCATAAATGGATTATAAAAAACCACTGAATCTGGCCTACCATATTTAACTATTCCAGTGTGAATGTTAATTGTAAAGATAATTTATTTTTTGAGGCACATGACAAAATGTTAGTCTAAAAAATTCACAATGTGTAGACCTCTTATAATACTTTTAAGCAGACTTTGTTTTTTAGAGCAATTTGAGCTTCACAGCATATTAAGCCCAAATTACAGTCTCCATATACAGTATTCCCTTTGCTAGTATTAACATTACCCCCATTATCAAATCCTGCAGGAGGGTGGCGGACTTGTTACAATCCATGTACCTACACTGGCACATCATCATCACCAGAGTCCACCAAGTTCACTCCTGACCTTGTACATTCTAAGAGTTTGGACAAATGTTTAATGACATGTACCCATCGCTATGGTATCATTCAGAATATTCCCACTGTCCTAAAAACCCTCTGTGTCTGCCTTTTTCTCTCTCCTTCCTCCCTAAATCCACTCAACCACTGATCCTTTTCATGTCTCCATAGTTTTGCCATTTTCAGAATGTCAAAAAGGGTCAACGTACAGTATGTAGTCTTTTCTGAAAGGCTTTTTCTCACTTAATAATATGCCTTTAGGGTTTCTTCCGGTCTGTTCATGGCCTGACTGGTCATTTCTTTTTAGCACTGAGTGTCCCAGTGTCTGGATGCACCACAGTGATTCACCCATTCACCTACCCCTGGAGGACGTCTTGGTTGCTTCCAAGTTTTGGCAATTGCGAATAAATCTTCTATTCACACCCGTGTGCGGGTTTATGTGTGTACATCGTTTCTTTACTCCTTCGGGTAAATACCAGTGAGCGTGACAGCTGGATGGTACGGTAAAACTAGTGGTTAAGCCATGCTTAGTTTTAAGAAACAGCCAAACTGTCTTACAAAGTGGCTGTTCCACTCGGCCTTCCCACTCTGCATGAGCGTCTCTGCTCCTCCACGCCCTCAGCAGCATCTGTCGCCGGTTTTATACTTTCGCCACTCATTCTGCCAATGAGATATTGTTATCGCATCTCATTATTTTAATTTGTAACCCTCTAATGACATATGATATCTTTTCACACGCTTACTGGACACCTATACATTTTTGTCTGTTCAGGCCTCTTGCCCATTTTTTTTTTTGCTCTTTCTCCCTGCTCTTTCTGATTGCTCCCGTCTCCATACATGCCTGCTGTCCCCCCAACCATGCCTGTGTCCCCCCTTCCCCGCTCACGGCCTCTCCTGGTGCTCCCCTCAGCCGGCTGACCCGCAGCGCTGTTTCCCCCCCTGCTCCCCTAAACCGCCCTTCCTGCCCCTGCACTCGCCCCCCCA